TGCTGAGGAGTGCTTTACTTCCAATTATGTGGTCAATTTTTGAGTAGGTGTGATATGCTGAGAAGAATGTATATTCTGTGGATTTGGGGTGGAGAGTTCTGTAAATGTCTATCAGGTTTGCTTGTTCCAGGTCTGAGTTCAGGTCCAGGATATCCTTGTTAATTTTCTGTCTGGTCGATCTGTCTAGTATTGACAGTGGAGTGTTAAAGTCTCCCACTATTATTGTGTGGGAGTCTCAGTCTCTTTGTAAGTTGTTAAGAAATTGCCTTTTGTTTCTGGGTGCTCCTGTATTGGGTGCATATATATTTAGGATTGTTAGCTCTTCTTGTTGTATCGATCCTTTTACCATTATGTAATGGCCTTGTCTCTTTTGATCTTTGTTGCTTTAAAGTCTATTTTATCAGAGATGAGAATTGCAACTCCTGGTTTTTTTTTTTTGCTCTCCATTTGCTTGGTAAATCTTCCTCCATCCCTTTATTTTGAGCCTTTGTGTATCCTTGCACGTGAGATGGGTTTCCTGGATATAGCACACCAATGGGTTTTGGCTTTTTAACCAATTTGTCAGCTTGTATCTTTTGATTGGTGCATTTAGCCCATTTACCTTTTGGGTTAATATTATTATGTGTTAATTTGATACTGCCATTTTGATTCTAGCTGGCTATTATGCCCGTTAGTTGTTGCAGATTCTTCATTGTGTTGATGCTCTTTACCATCTGGTATGTTTTTGGAGTGGCTAGTACTAGTTGTTCCTTTCTATGTGTAGTGCCTCTTTCAGGAGCTCTTGTAAAGCAGGACTGGTGGTGACAAAATCTCTGAGTACTTGCTTGTTTGCAAAGGAATTTTTTCCTTCACTTATGAAGCTTAGTTTGGCTGAACATAAAATTCTGGGTTGAAAGTCCTTTTCTTTAAGAATGTTGAATATTGGCCCCCCTCTCTTCTGGCTTGTAGGGTTTCTGCCAAGAGATCTGCTATGAGTCTGATGGGCTTCCCTTTGTGGGTGACCCGACCTTTCTCTCTGGCTGCCCTTAGCATTTTCTCCTTCATTTCAACCCTTGTGAATCTGACGATTATGTGCCTTGGGATTGCTCTTCTTGAGGAGTATCTTTGTGGTGTTCTCTGTATTTCCTGGACTTGAATATTGGCCTGCCTTGCTAGGTTGGGGAAGTTTTCTTGGATAATATCCTGAAGAGTATTTTCCAGCTTGGATTCATTCTTTTTGTCACATTCAGGTACACCTATCAAACATAGATTATGTCTCTTCACATAGTCCCACATTTCCTGGAGGCTTTGTTCATTCCTTTTTGCACCTTTTTCTCTAATCTTGCCTTCTCGTTTTATTTCATTGAGTTGATCTTTGACGTCTGATATCCTTTCTTCTGCTTGGTCAATTCGGCTGTTGAAACTTCTGCATGCTTCGTGAAGTTCTCGTGTCGTGTTTTTCAGCTCCATCAATTTACTCATATTCCTCTCTAAATTGTCCATTCTTGTTACCATTTTGTCAAATCTTTTTTCAAGGTTCTTAGTTTCTTTGCATTGAGTTAGAACATGTTCTTTTAGCTCACGGTAGTTTCTCATTACCCACCTTCTGAAGTCTGTTTCTGTCATTTCATCATACTTATTCTCCGTCTGGCTTTGTTCCCTTGCTGGTGAGGAGTTGTGATCCCTTGTAGGAGGTGAGGTGTTCTGGGTTCGGTTGTTTTCCTCCTTTTTGCACTGGTTTCTTCCCATGTTTGTGGATTTATCCACCTGTCATCTGTGTAGTTGCTGATTTTCAGATTGGGTCTCTGAGTGGATGTCCAGATTGTTGATGATGAAATTATTTTTGTTTCTTAGTTTTCCTTCTAACAGTCTGGCCCCTCTGCTGTAGGACTGCTGAGGTCCACTCCAGACTCTGCTTGCCTGGGGATCACCTGCAGCAGCTGAAGAACAGTAAGGGTTGCTACCAGTTTCTTCTTCTGCTATCTTTGTCCAGAATGATGCTGGTGAAATGTCAGTCTGATCAGTCCTTTGAGAGGTGACTCTTTGGATATACGTGGGTCAGGGAGCTGCTTGAGGAGGCAGTCTGTTCTTAGTAAGAGCTCAAGTGCTGAGCTGTGAGCTCCGTTGTTCATTCAGAGGTGCTGGGCAGGTATGTTTAAGTCTGCTGCAGCATAACTCATAAACCCCCTTTTTTTCCCCCAGGTGCTCTGTCCTGCGGAGTTAGGGCTTAATATGTGAGTATCTGTTGTACTGCTGACTTTTTTTTTTTTCAGGGCTGTCCTGCCCAGCAAGGAGGCAGCCTAGTCACTGTCTGCCTGCAGAGGCTTTGCTGATCTACTGTGGGGTCCGCCCTGCTGACCTGTGTATTTCCCTGCAGTCCTGTTTATATGGGTGTGGTTAGAACTGCCTCGGCAATGGTGGCCCGCCTCTGTGATTGCGGACTCTCTCTGTTATGGTGGGTTGCCTCGGCAATGGCAGGCTGCGTCAGCAACGGCAGACTACCTCCATAGGGTTGGAGTGCCTCAGTAATGGCGGCTGCCCCTCCCCTACAAAGCTGGACTGTCCCAGGTTTAGCTGTGCTTGCCGTGAAACTCTCAACCCCGAGCGTTTCCAATTGCTGGTTTTTTTTTTGTTTGTTTTTGTGGGCGTGGGACCCGCCGAGCCTAATCACCTGGCTTCCTGCCTCAGAGCCCCCCTTTTTTTTTAAGTTAAACTGTGGACTCTCTCCCAGGTGTTCCAGTCACCTGCTGAAAGGGCGCTGGGATCTGTGTGATTTCCTGTGTGGTGACTCACTGCGCCAGCTGAAACAACATCGCTGCCCGGGAATCTCCTGGCCTGACTCTATGTTTCAGTCTGTTTAATCAGATGAATGGGCTAATCTGCCTTCCCGGATCTCCAATTGCCAGTTTAACAGAGCAACCAGACCAGTGTATTTTGTCCGGAGAGCCGCTGCACTGCGGCACTGGCCAAAACAGCTGCACCAGCTGAAACAGCTGCGCTCGCGACCCATGGGGCTTCTCTGCCTGGGAATCTCCTGGTCTGTGGGCAATAAAGATCTGTCTGGAAATGCGGCGTCCACTCGCCCTCTGTGCTTTCACTGGGAGCTGCAATCCTGAGCTGCTCCTACAGCGCCATCTTGAATCTTCTCCCCACTCAAAACACTTTATTTTAAAAAGCATATATAGGCATTTCTGCTTCTGATCTGGCAAAATTTTCCTATGATGGCTATGTAGATGTTTGATATAAAATCTTCATCTTATTATATTATGAAATATGCCATGAAGAACTGGTATAGCTTACTTACAATAATGGTTTTGGCCTTTACTACACAGTTCTTAGCAAGTGTAGCACTTTCCAGAAGTTGGCCAAGATGATAGAAGCCAGGAAAAAGAGCAAAAAAGTAAAAACACCAAGAAATATAAAAACTAAACAACAAAAAAAGAGATTAAAAAGAAAATAAGCCCTACAACCAGGGGAAGATCAATTACATACAGGTTTCTGCTTTGGATTTTATGATAGTATTATTTAATAAGCAAAGTCTGAATTATATGAATGAATTATTATGGTTTTGGCTTCAGCATTATAGTAACTTTTATACTAAGTGACAGAAGTTTGTTGGCATCTGTTCACAGGTATTATGAATTAGTATTGATTATGTTACAAATTCCTTATAAATTACTTACTAATTTGCCATTTTGCAAACTATGTACCAAAATTAAAATATCCTATAGAAAAATGTCTTTAGATTATGAACTCTATTCAAATAATGGCTTAAATTAGGATTTTGTTATGGATAAAGAAACTAAGAATTCTAAAATTTAAAAATGTCCTCTCTTACGAAAAAAGTGTGCTTTGGCTTAAAGATTCAGTGCATTAATGACATATTTTATCATGTAAGAGAATCATTTGGGGCATTCTCCAAGAAAAATAATATTAATCAGTGAGTACTTCTAATTTCTGAGTCTTCTGATTTATACCTCTGGCATACTAGTAATATAATTACCAGTCTGCCATTGTTTTTCTTCACCTAATGTTTTTCAGAGTTCTCTTATTATTATGACTGTGTAGAATATTACCTATTAGATATAATAACTTTTATATGCATGAACATTTTAATTTCCTTAGATACCTTTAAAATCAAATTATGATTAAAGCTTGCAGTAGGCTGGGTGCAGTGGCTTATGCCTGTAATCCCATAACTTTGGGAGGCCCAGCTAGGAGGATCCTTTGAGGTCAGGATTTCAAGACTAGCCTGGTAACATAGTGAGACCTCATCTCTACAAAATTAAAAGGAAAAAACTGCCTAAAGCTTGCAACAAAAATGGCAAATATTTTAGTGCCTTGGAACTGGTTTATTTTTTTTCTTGTGCCAAATAGAAATGTAAAAGATTTAAAATGTCTTATCAAGCCAATTTGCTGATTATATAGATGTCCCTTTTGTTTTCATTCCATTATTTGCTTTAACTCATACAGTTATGATTTTCTAGGCTTTGACCTTATAGTTTTAGGCTGAAAATTCCAATTTCAAATTTCTTTTAAGGAATTCTTAAGAGTAACAGTTACGTCATACTTTGTTAGTAGTACAGAGAAACTTAAATTTTAGAAAATTTGCTTTGGTTTAGTAGCAGTCAAAATGAAGATGTTATAATTAGTAGTAAAAAATTAAAGAATATTTTCCCCTTTCTCCAATAATAAGTATAAACTAGAACTTTTTGCTATTAAGCATGACTTTTGTGAATGCCTGGTCTTATAATTTTATTTAGTATCAGTTTTTAATAGCTTAATATTTCCCCACCTCTCATATGAACCTTAAAAAATTGTTCAAGAACACTAGTTTAAAATGCAACTCTATGTTCAAATAAAGTTGATACTTTTTGCTGAGATTAAAAAAAAACATATGGTCCCATTAATGCATTTAAATATAGTTTGTATACATACAAACATATATCTTGTTTACACATATAAATAATATTTTTTCATGAAACATTCAAAATGCAATATTAAGTTCATATATTCTATACCTGTAAAATGTTGGCAGGGTCCTCGTTAGCAGATGCAACCAACAAAGTATGCCCATTGACAATTCCTTCTGCCAGAAAATACTTGAAGAGCAAAGATGAGTAAATATTATATTTATCCTCCTCTGTAAAAAAGAAGAAGTTACAGTTAGAAACATATAGCAAGATAAAAATCAAATGACTATCAAAAAGCAAGCAGGCTCATATGTTTTTATAATTTTTTTCCTTAAAACAAGTATATGAGGTGGAATAATAATTATGTATTCCTGAGGCACAGATAGGCTAAGAGACTTATAAAGAGTGTCAGTGAGAAATAGGTACTTTCAATAGACTTTATGGTTCCAAACATCATTGTCCAACTACTACATCACGTTGATATCCACAAAATTACCCCCTGCACATACATATACACTTTAGGTATAGGGAACTTCACTAGTAAATTTAAACATTTTAAGGAAGAAATAATACCAATACTTAAATGCCTTAAAAAGGAAAAGGAAATAATTCCTGCTTAATAGGCCCATTATTACTCTAATATCCAAACCAAGGAGTTATACAAAACTACACACCATTATCAAATTTTAGGAAGTCATTACACCAATCCTACATGTACTCTTTCAGAAAAGAGGAAAGAATGAAACACTTCTAAACTCATTTTATGAGGCCAGTATTACCCTAAAACCAAAACTAGACCAATATACCACAGAAACAGAAAGCTATAGACTAATATGCTTCATGCAAATATATAAAAATAATCCTTTGAATATCGTAAAACCAAATCTAGTTTAAGTATATTTATATTAGATAACTATAATTTTGTTTTAAATACTGTAAAACCAAATCCAGTAATATTACATCCTCAACTTTACATATGAGATCTACAAAAAACCTACAGATAACATCCTTAATGGTAAAATAGAATGCTTTTCCCTTGAGATTGGGAAAAATGGAGGTGTATCCACTTTCATCATTTCTAATCAATACTGTACAGAAGGCCTTAGCTGTGTAATATTGCTGGCTTTAGTTTTATGGCACTCAAAATCAAATTATAATTATTATATATATTATAATCATATACATATATAGTAATATAATTATATTGTAGTTATATAATTATATAGTAATGCAACATAATAGAGTAATTACAATTATATTAGGGCAATTATATTGTCATAATATATAGAATTATAATTATCCTTTGGTTATATTGCATTAATATATTTTACACAGTAATATATATATCATATTACTGGATTTGGCTTTATGGTATTTAAAGAATATACTATAATAACACTAACTAATTATACTCTGCTATACTAAATATTACTTGTACTTCTATACAATAGTAACAAATAATGGGAATGAAAATTTTAGAAATCCTACTTGCAATTAAACATTTTGGATAAATTTTACAAAATAAGTGCATGAAGTAGTTCTACACTGAAAAGTACAAAACATTCTGAGAGTAAAGAAGACCTAAATAAATGGATGTATCATGTTCATGGGATAGAAGACTCAAATCTTCAAATTGAACTGTAGATTTAATGCAATCCCAATAGAAATCCCAGTAAGCTTTTTGGAGAAATTGACTAAGTAATTCTAAAATTTACAAAGAAATTCAAAGGTCATAGAATATAGTTGATATTGTTTGGGTCTGTGTCCCTGACTAAACCTCATTTCAAATTGTAGCTGGAGGTGGGGCCTGATGGGAAGTGATTGGTTCATGAGGGTGGATTTTCCCTTTGGAAAATTTACAATTTGACATGACTAAATCTCGTGTCAAATTGTAGTTGGAGGTGGGGCCTGGTGAGAAGTGATTGATTCATGTGGGTGGATTTCCCCTTTGGTCCTATTCTCATAATAGTGGGTCATCATGAGATCTGGCTGTTTAAAAGTGTGTACCACCTCCCCACTCTTTCACTTCCTCCTGCTCCCACCATGTGAGACACACCTGCTTCCCCTTTGACTTTGGCCATGATTGTAAGTTTCCTGAGGCCTCCCCAGCCACATTCCCTGTACAGCCTGCAGAACCATGGGCTAATAAAACCTCTTTTCTTTACAAATTAACCAGTCTCAGTTATTTCTTTAGAGCAGTGCGAGAAGGAACTAATACAAAAGTCAAATAAATTTGAACAAAGAACACAGTTGGAAGACTTAACATTTTATTTCAAGACTTACTATAAAGCTACAGCAATCAAGGTAACATGGAATTAGCAAAAGAACAGAAATACAGATCAGTGGAAAAGAAAAGAGTCCAGAAATAAATCAATAAAATTGGCTTTTGACAAAGGTGGGGAAATAACTGTTTTTGTAACAAATGGTCCTACAATAACTGAATTTCCATATTTAAACAACAAAAGCAATAAAAACTTCAATCTTGCCTCACAGTACACTCAATAGAAAAACAAAAACTTCCATCTTACCTCTTGTACTAATACTAAATATTAGCTTGAAATGGATCATACACTTAAAAGCCGAAACAATTAAAACTATTAGAAGAAAACGTAGGAAAATTCTTTGCAACCTTGGAGTAGGCAAACATTTCTTAGAACATTAAAGCATGAACAGGAGAAAAAGATGGATAAATTAAACTTCATCAAAATTTAAAAAATTTGCCTTTGAAAAGACAGCGAATAGGAAGATATAAAAAGGCAAACTACAGATAGACAATATTTGCAATACATATACTTGGTAGAGGACTAGTATCCAGCACATATTTTATCAACTTTTACACTGCAATAAGAACACAAACTCTACAACATAAAAATGAGCAAAAGATGTGAACATATCCTTTACAAAAGATGATACATGAATGGCCAAAAAGCATTAAAAGATGTTCAAGTGACAATCACGTGGGGCAAATAAAATGCTCCAACATTGCTAGTGGCAATCCAAAACATTGTAACTACATTAGAAAAGTTTGGCAGGCCAGTTGTGTTGGCTCACACCTGTAATTCCAGGACTTTGAGAGGCTGAGGCAGATGGATTGCTTGAGGTCAGGAGTTCGAGACCAGCCTGGCTGACACAGTGAAACCCTGTCTCTACTAAAACCACAAAAATTACCTGGGTGTGGTGGTGCATGCCTATAATCCCAGCTACTCGGGTGGCTGAGGAAGGAGAATCATTTGAACTGGGAAGTGGAGGTTGCAGTGAGCTGAGATCACGCCACTGCACTCCAGTCTGGGTGATAGAGCAAGACTCCATCTCAAACAAAATAGAACAAAATAAAAACAGTTTGGCAGTTTCCAAAAAAGTTAAAAATACACTTATTATAGGATCCAGAAATTCTACTCTTGGGTACTCACCCATGAGAGATGAAAATACAGGTCTGTATAGATTTATACAGAAGGTTTATGGCAGCTTTTTTTAATATCCAAAACTTAAAATAAGTTAAATGTCCATCAACTGGTTGCTGAATGGAGAAAACAAATGATATATTCATAAATGGATTATTACTCAGCAATAAAAAGAAATAAACTACTAATTTACAGTAGTTTCTTGGTATCTTCAGGGGATTAGATACCAAGGATATCCAGGATTGGATATCTAGGATACCCTATGAATACCAAAATCCAAGGATGCTTAGTACCTTAAATTTTGCCCTCTGTATCCAAGGATGTGGTACATGCTAAAACAGAGGGCTAACTGCACATGCAACCACATGGATAAATTTCAGAAGACATTACGCTAAGTGAAAAAAGCCAGATATAAAAAAGTACACATGGAAAAATTGCAGTTACATGATATTCTATAGAAAGCAAAATTAATCTCTAGTGGCAGAAAGATTAGGTGTTGGGGTCAGGAAACTGAGCACCAAGAAACACTTTACGGTGACAGAAGTGCTTTATATCTTGATTATGGTGGTGGCTGCATGAGTATATACAGTTCTAAAAAGTCACTAAAATTAGGAAATGGGCTTGGCACAGTCACTCACTTCTGCAATCCTCATGCTTTGTGAGGCCAAGGTGGGAGGATTGCTTTGAGGCCAGGAGTTTGAGACAAGCCTGAGCAATACAGCGATACCTCATCTCTAAAAAAAGTAATAAAAAAATAGCTGGGTGTGGTGATGTGCACTGGAGGTCTTAGACACTTGGGAGGCAGAGCTGGAAGGATCCCTTGAATCCAAGAGCTCAAGGATGCAGTGAGCCATGATTGTGCCACTGTACTCCACACTGGGGAAGAGAAAGAGAACCTGGTTCAAAAATAATTTGATAAAATAAACAAATGGGTGCATTTTATTGTATATAAATTAAAATTCAATAAATTTTATTTAAACAATTCCATAAAGTACAACCAAAGTATTAGGTGGTGAGTTGTTTAGATACCTTTTTAGCACACTCTCTTAGAAGAAATCCATGATTAAAAGTATAGTCGATTTACACCAAGTTTAATTTTATATATTAAAACACATAGCTAGTTCTTCAACATTATTCATCACAAGTTAAAGTTTAATATCTACAAATCTACAACTCAAAAAATGTACTTAATGATTTAGGGACATTTTATGAGAATTTTAGTGGGTTACAGAAAAGGAAAATGTTTTCAATGCTTCTGTACTACTTACAGCTGACAGATGGAAAAGCTAGCAGAGACAACTATAGGAGAGATGATCAGCACTGACTACTGATTAATACAGCTGTAACACTGGAAAAATGCTTACTTAGTATAACTAAGAATTTGCCTCCATTCAACTTTAGAACAAACTAGAAAGTCATGTTTAAAATAGGATTGATTTTCCCTGAATTAATTACTATTACGTCAGTTTAGAGAAGCAACCATTTTCATTAATAAATCAATAATATAAAAAAAACTATTACATTTTTTAATTTCTAAGATTAATATTTTTACAAAACGGAAAATTTAAATTTTAAAAAATTAACCCATAATCCTCAAATAATTGTTATTGAAATTTTGTTCTATTTCCTTTCAGTACTTCTATGTTTTCAGTGATGACTGGATTTGGTATTCTACTTTTTTCACTTAATCTAACAAACATGCTTTATAGTCTTGTAACTATCATGTTTATGGCTGAATAATGCTCTAGTAAATTTATGAACCATACTTAACTATACCCCCCTACCAAGGCCTTTTCATGCTGCTTTTAGGGTTTTGTTAGTACTAAATA